ATTTTGCTTAGGTTTTAAGAGAAGCATCATGACACGATGTTTTGGGAAGGGTCTGGTTTCATTGTTGCTAGGTCCAGCCGATGGTCAAGAGAAGGCATCACCAAAGCCAGCTCCCTTCAGCTTCGCCCAGCTGATTATTGGCTAGGGAGATGGGGATTCTTTCTCGGCTGGTTTAAAACTCATCAGTCGCAGCCCAGGCTGACGGGTGCGTTTAGGAGCTGGAGAAGGGACGCTCATGCGTGCGAAGGTTTCAGACCCCTCCTGGGAGCAGCCAGAGGGAGCTGCACTCGGCGAGTTGGGTGTCGCGTCCCAGGGAAGAGCCTGGCTTCTCGGCGGCGGTTCTTCCCTTGCTCACGCTCTCTGGGGGGTGGGGGGGTGATGCTGCTGCTGCTCTCCATCTCAGGCGCAGGACTGGAGGCAGGGAGGAACCAGCGGTCCGACCTCACCTGGGCTGCTCGCCTCACCTGGGTCTCAGGTGTGGAGAGAGGACTGAGGAAATCCCATGATCTCTTCATTCCATTTCCCCGCGACACACACGTTTTCAAACCCTGCAGAGTCGTTTTTTCATGCACGTCGTTGTTTGCTAACAAGTTCTGGTTGATTCCTTAACCCCCCCCACCCCCACTCCCCGCCATGGAATGAAACCTTTTAGGTATTCCTTTTTTAAATAAAAAATACAAACTTTATTTCTCAACGGAAACTCCATCAAGGACGAGACTCCTGCTAAGTGGTGCTGCAGCCATTAAGGGACTCGGCCTTGTGTACGTTTCTCGCTGGGGAAGAGAGTGCTCCCTTAAGGAGTCTAAGATGAGGAAACAGTGACACTGGGAGGAGCCAAGTCGGGACTCTCCTACTGTCCACTGAAACGCTGAGCACCGTCCTGGGTTGGAGGGCGCGGCGTGGGGAGCACTGCTGTGGAAAGGGCTCTCTGGGGAGCTCTCCCTGGGCCCTGTCAACAGACCGCTCTCCGTCGTTAACATGGTGATGGGGCTGGTCGTTCCTTAATCAAACACCTGATCATGCTGGCTGATCTTTAATCAAACATCTGAGCTGGCCGGGCAGGGGACCCTGTGACGCCTCCTGAGGTGCACAGCCAGGGCGACCCGAGACACACTTTCTTCCGGCCTGGCCTCATCCTGCCCTGCCTGTGGACGCTCTCGGTGGTCACACAACAGGGCACCCTGCCGTCCAGCGGGAAGTCCAGCGGGAAGCCCTCACGCCTGGCTCTGGGAGACAGAGCAGGGGCATCGATTTCCAGATGACTCCGGCCCTAGGGGGTCATGTTACCAACCAGGGTCTTGGCACCTGGGTTCTTGGCACAAGTTCTCTTTGGAGACAAGGGTGGTCTCGGCCTCTTGCCTTTTTAAGAGCATGGGCTCTGGTTGTCTGTTGAGTGTCTGTGCACTGGTGGGGGGGGCTCTGATTCTTTGTGGCATGTCTGTGTATTGGTGGGGGTGCGGGACATTGTTTGGGGCCTGGTGCGGTCCTTGCAGATGAGCTGCTGGGCACACAGGGCTCCTGGGAAAGGCTGAGCACTTGGAGCCAGGACCTCCCATTTTACTGCCCATCCCTCGCCCGTGTCCACACTTGACTCTCCTGCAGATGAAACGGACTCACTCCCCTTAAGGGCTCCTGATAGTAAAGCCCAAATCCTGCACCTGGGTCGAGCCAGGTGGACGTGAGCCGTGGGCCGCCTCTTTTCTCAGCCCACTGACCCTAAGGGCTTAGAGGTGCAGGTGCAGTTGCGGGGTGGGTGGGAGCAGACCGTGGCCTGTTGACCAAGACTTGGCCCTCATGGCCAAGACCCTGACTTCCCTGTGGTCTCCAGGCAGGAGGAAGAGCGAGGGCGTGTCTACAACTACATGAACGCGGTGGAGAGAGACCTGGCCGCCTTGCGGCAAGGCATGGGCCTGAGCCGGAGGTCCTCCACGTCCTCCGAGCCGGCCCCCACCGTCAAGACCCTCATCAAGTCCTTCGACAGTGCCTCCCAAGGTACTCCCGCTCCCAGACCACACCGAGGGCCGGCGCTGTGTCCACTCTCCGTGTGTTCCCCGGCCTAGTCTGTCAGCCGGCCTCCCGTTAGTGTGTCCACCAGAGAAGGGTGGGTTTCCGAAGGAGAGTGGATCTGTGTCGTCTCAGAGAGCTTGAGCACACTTGCCCCCTAGCCCCTCACGGATGCTTCGCAGAGGATCACGCAGGTCCCAGCCTTTTCCCACCGCTGAAGGTGACGGACTGCAGTGGGACTGCAGTGCGGTCAGTCAGCTGTCGGTCCACGGACCACGGCCTGACTTGGGTGGCTTTCGTGGCCTCGTTCTGGGTTGCTCCTCCTCCGTGAACTTAACCCCCCCCTCATCTCTCAGGTCCCTCCTGTCGGTGGGAGCCTTACACATAGCCCCTAAAAGCGCACCAACCTGAAGGCAGACCTTGCTTACGAGGGAGGCTACACTGGACCAGGAGGTCACCTCATGGTCAAAGGGGAAAAGATGGACCTCGTCTCGGATTCCTCTTAGGTGGTGCGCATGGAAGCCGCAGTCGAGAACGAGAGAGACATCGCTCAGGTCAATCCGCCCCCGACCCCTGTAGAGAGTTGAACAGCAAGGCGGTGACTCTGAGGGCTAGCGCGCACCTGACCCGAGCCGTGGCATTTTCACACGCCTCATGTGCATGTGAAAGGAGGCCATTGACCAGGAAGACCCGCCGGAGATCCATGCCTTTAACTGTGGTGTTGGCGAAGATGACGACCGAAGACCAATGTCTGTGTTGGAGGAAGAACGGCCAGAGTGCTCCTTAGAGGCCGGGATGGCGAGACTGCAGCTCATGTGCTTTAGACTGATTATCAGGAGAGACTAGCCCCTGGAGAAGGGCATCGTGCTTGGCAGAGTAGAGGGGCAGCGACGGAGAGGATGGCTCTCGAGGAGATGGCTGGACACAGTGGCACAGCAGTAGGCTCAGACGCCGGAACCCTTGTGAGCTGGCGCGGGGCCGGGCAGTGTTTCATTCGCTTGTGCGTGGGGCCGCTGTGGTCAGAAATGACTGGACAGCACCTCACAACAAAGCTGAACTGTTGTGTGGTTGTAAGGAGACTCCAGGGGGTTATTTTTGGTTTCAAGCTTAAAGGTTATCTTAAGATTGATCGTAGAGCAGAGATTCCCAAACAAATTTGGCCCACTGTCCCCTTTTAGAAAAAAAATTGGTGCCCTCCCAGCAATACAAAGCATTTGTACTATAACCCATAGTCCAGAATACAGTGTAGATGCCTACTTTTGTAGGCATCCTTCCAGCGTCCCCCAGGGGCGGCCTCCCCACCGTGGGAAGCACTGTCCGGAGGACTAGGAGGAGCAGGGACAGGGGTCGCGGGAGCGCTGCGCGCAATAGCACAAAGACGGAAACAGCCTCCTGCCCCCAGCAGAGGGGACCCTGCTGCTCTCAGACCACACTCACTGCCAGCCAGCCGATGCGGCTCTCACCGCCCTGTGGGACCTGGTAGGGCTGCCCCTGTGAGTTTCCGAGAGGGGAGCCCTTAAAGCCTGGAAAGCCCCGCCTTTCTCCCTGAGAGTGGCTGGTGGCTTTGAACTGCTGACGTGCCCTTGGCAGCCCAGCATGTAACCACCGCAGCACCAGCATCAGAAGGAGCCTGCGCAGGCGGGATGGCCCACCACAGGAGGGCTCGAGGAAAGGGGCCTCCGCTCCTGTGAAACCGAGATGTGAGCGTCCGATGCCTGCCAGCCTCTCACCTAGCGCCCCGATGGACCGACTCCTCTTTGTGTGCGGAGGTGGATTTCATCAGGGTAGGAACGGCTTCAGCTTCCTATTACAACGAAGACGGACCCGTGGCAGCCTGGTCAGTTCTGACTCTCAGCGACCTCGTCGAGCGGAGTGGAACTGCTTCCCGGGGCCTCCAACATAGCAGACCTTTGCCAGAGCAGACTGCCTCCTCCCACTCCCACCCCTCAGAGAGGCGTAGGGTTATGACATAAGTGAGCTGGGTGGGAGTGACCGGATGATGTCAGGGAGGCAAAACCTCGTCCTTGAGAGAGGACTCCCCCAGGTATCGCATGGTTCACAGGGGCTTCAGTGAATCAGCAAGGAAGGTTGGCCCAGAGAGCTCTCCCTGTCCGATGACGCGCTCACGATACACCTGTCCATCTGTCCCCCATGCAGTGCCAAGCCCCGCCGCTGCCGCCATGCCTCGCACGCCTCTGAGCCCAAGCCCCATGAAGACGCCGCCTGCTGCTGCTGTCTCCCCGATGCAGGTGAGCACCCGGCCATGGGGGCCGCGGTGGGGAGGTCTCCTCTGTCAGTGTCACCCACACTCCTGTCAGGTGGGGAAACAGCAGTCTCACCAGGGAAGGGTTTCTGGGCCTGGGTGGTGCTGGCGGGCAAGCATTGGACTGCGGACCCACCGCTGGCTCTCCGAAGGAGGAAGAGAAGGTGGTCGGCTCCCAGCCAGGTTTCCAGCTGCAGGGACCCTGCCTGGAGGTGCTCGGGATGCCCTTGGTGGCAGCGGATTAGTGGTTTCTCCCCTTCAATACTAGGGGCGTCAAAAAGCTCGTGGGTACAGGGGATGAAAAGATCATGGACGTGTCTCACAACCTTGTCAACTTCGCATGCTGTGGCTGCACCTGGATCAAGGCAAAGCAGAGACCCGAAAACAAAGAAGGCAGCCCAGCCGCAAGCTCACTCTGATGTAGAGGGAGCGCTGCCCGTGAGTGCCCAAGACTGCAGCTCTGTGGGAGCAGAAAGCCGCCTTTCTTGCGAGACAAAGCACAGAGTAGATGGTGTCACTGGGCGCGTAAGCTCTAACCGTAACGAGCATGGACAGTTACTGAACACGCACCGCTCAGTACTTCATAACGCTAAGCATTCGATCATAGCGCCAGCCCTGCTGGATATCCACCAGAAATCAAGCCCCTCACTCGCATGGAGTGGATTGTAACACACAGTGACCTTATAGGACAGAGTCGAACTGCCCTGTGGGTTCACCAACACTGTCAGTCTTCCTTCCCTGGAGTGGTTGGTGGGCTTGAACCTCAGACAGTAAGGTAAGCCGCCCAACGCTTCACCTGTTGGGCCAACAGTGTTTCTTAACTGGGTATGCGAGGGGACTTCCATGAGTTGGCCCCCAAATGCCATGATGTTCCCGTTCCATTTCCGGTGCGCTCTATGAAGCCCCCTGGTACTGGCCCCAGTCTTCAGATGTGGATGTGTGTTGCCTGGGCTCATACTGGTACACTGTGGTTTGCGGCCGGCAGTGTGGCTTCAGAGCTTGTGCCATTGTCCCTGGCACGGAAACAGGTTCCTAAGTGGGCTGTGTGGCTGGCCTGAAGGGCATCAGGCGGCAGCATGGGCTTTTCTGGAGTCCTCCTCCGGGTCAGCCTTTAGCGGCTCCTCAGCCCCTGCGTGGGCAGGGCTGGAGCTCAGCTGTGGTGACGGCCTCTCTTTCCATGACTTGTCCGCTTTAGACGGCGAATGGCCTGGTGGCCCAAGTGTCCACTCTGCGCTCTTGAACTTGTGCCGCACCCTCTCTTCTGGTTTTCCTGGTGCCAATACTGATCACAGGGAAATCTGAGCCCTGCCGTGCGGGGAAGCAGGCCACCAGGTCAGAGCTCTTAGCCTGTCGTGGTCAAGCCACCCTCTCTCTGGTTCTTGATGTAAAGCCCCTTGGAAGAGAGCCCATGTCCCCTTGAGATGTCCTGCTGCTAACATGCACAGCGTAGTCGCAGAAGGTCGACGCTGTCCTCAGTCCGTGTGCACGGAAGACGCGGGCAAGAGATGACATGATGTGCTGCATTGAGTCAGTCTGCTGCCAAGACCTCTTTACAGCGCTGAAAAGCCAGAAGGTCACTTTGAGGACTAAGGTGCGCCTGACCCAAGCCATGGTCCTTTCAGCGTCCTCATCACGCATACGAGAGGCGAATGCTGCCCGAGGAAGTCTGAAGAAGAACGGGTGCACTTGAGCGAATGAACGAGCGAACCCTGGACTGCCCGAAGACCAGCCAGTCTGTCTTTAAAGCCAACGAGGGCCAGACTTAGTCTCATGTGCTTCGGACATGTTGTCAGGAGAGACCAGTCTCTGGTAAAGCTAGAGGGCCAGCGAGAAAGACAGACACCCTCGAGAAGGCGGATGACACCGTGGCTGCCCCAGTGGGCTCGCAGGTAACACTGTGAGGGAGACCACCGCCAGGCCGTGCTCCTTTGCCGGGCGTCGCCCACTGAGCCTGCACTGCCTCGGAGCCATCCAACCACGGCAACAACCACACGGGCACTGTCGTCAGAGCTTTCTTCTTCTTTTTACTAATGCTTTTCCTGGGGGCTCTTACGTCTCTCACCATGATCCATACATTCATCCATCATGCCAAGCACATTTGCACATGTGCTGCCATCAGCATTTTCAAAGCACTCTCTTCCCATTGAGCTCCTGACAATCAGAACTTTCTTTTCTTTCCTTTTTTTACCGACAGGCTTCATTGTCAGGGAAACACGGGCCAACCACTGAGAACACCGGGTGTAGGGCCAACAGACTAGACAGCGGGCCAAGGGCCCGGGGCTCAGCCTAGGGACGCATTAGCAACCTGAATGTCTCATCACCTGTGACAGGACATGGAAGCTCATCACTGTGCCTGTGGCTAAGAATGACGAGCCCGATGGGCAGCAGGAGGCGAAGGCACTGGTGGATGCGCAGCTCCGGGCCCCAAGCAGATCGCCCGCCATCGTCCACTCCCTAGATGTCACGGAGTGGGTGCAGGCCACGAAGTCCAGGCAGCACCGGTTGAGGAAGAGCGTGTTGAACAGGGACCGGATGACCTGGTCGGGCACAGAGGTTTTACTGAGGATGCTGATCACGGTAGACTGCATCGGGGTGGTGCCGTAGGGCCGCCAGAACGTTCTGGAAGATGTAAAGAAAAGCGACGCCAAGGAACACGTTCTTTGCCTTTGCAAAGAAGGCAGCCCTTCTCCAGGCGTGGTTGTCCACAGCGAGGCTCCGTGGCGTGTGAGGAACAGGCCTTGCTTTGTAAAGCTCTGCACACAGAAGACGAAAACTCGCACCTCTGTGACTTGGAGAATCTGACAGCTGGAAGCCACATTCAGTAGGTACTTTCTCCGTTGGCACAGCATTTCTCAGACCTCTAAACAGACACGGCCTGGCCTCATAGACACCCCCATTACACCACACGCCTCCAAACCAGAAGCGCTCCGGGATCGAGGCTCTGCTCTGCTGGAGACGGTGTTGCCCCCTCGCCACACTGCCCCGCAGAACTCTGCTCTGTGGCTTACCACAGTGAAATTGCCCTTGGCGCTAATTAAGTTCCTCTCCTTTGGGTTTGGCCTGGAGGGTGGATGGGGTGAGGTTCCCCAAGGAGACCCTCCTGGGACAGCCTGGCTGCCCTCACAGAAGAAGACAGTGCTGGGGTCAAGTCTGCCGCAGTTCTTCTCACCAACGTGGGTTTCGGGTTTTTAAAGAGAACGCCTTCAGAGTGAGCCCCTGTGGTGGCTTTGTGTGTTTAGAGACCATCTGTCGCGATGGTAGGGGAGCAGGGTGGGAAGGGACAGCAGTAGACTCGGGTGTGTACAGGTGTTAACTCGGGCGAAGGGAAAGACAGTGTCATACAGGAGAGACACGGGTAAAAACAAAAATGGGGGTGAGGAAAACCGGACAGGCCAGTGGCCGATTTGATAAATGATTGAAGTTGTCACATGCAAAAGTGGCGATAGGTCAGCCCCAGCTAATAACAACACAAACAGTACATTTACTTGAAAAGAGAACTCTTTCTGGAATCCACAGCCCGCCTGAGCCAACCTCTCTGTCTTGATGGAGAGTCCAGAAGCCCAGTGATTTTTCCACAAAGGTAACTCACCGAGGGAGGGGTAGTCTCTTCCACAGACGCCGCCGGACCGAGGAGAGTTTACTGCCGAAGGAAAACCTCACCTCAGCCTTTCTTGACCTCACGGGCGCCCGCACACAGCTTATCCATGAACCAGCCACAGACCCAACCGTTAAAGTTCAGACTACCAAGCGCCCGGGGCAAACCCTGGAGGGCGTCCTGACGGGAGGGCTGAGATTTCTCGTTTGGGGCGTGAGTCGTGCAAGGAAATTGCCAAGCGGGTCCCTCGACACGAAAGACGCCAAGGAGATGAGATGGGGGTGCCCCAGACCCATGCTTTGTAGAGGTGGACCAGGAGCACCTAGGGGCTCCGAGTGTGCGTGGTGGCCACCTCAGGCAGCCGGTGGCAGGATGACAGACCTTCCCAGGTCACCAGTAGCTACTGAGGTACCAGGTGGTGACGGAGATCTGGACCAGGGCCGGAGCAACAATAGGAGCCCACCCCTCTTGTTCTGGGACGTGTCTCATTCATTAATGGCACAGACACCTTCTCGTGAAACCACGCTGAGTGCCAGGTGAGCGATGCCATGCTGCAGGGCCAGGGAGGTGGTGCTGTAAGCAGGCAGCAGGTGGCTCCTGGATCTTGACTGCGTCCATCATCCTGGTTGGGGCAGTGCCAACAGTCCTGCAAGATGTCATCACTGGGTGCAGGGACATGGGTTGTCACTGTGTTGTGTTTTACAGCTGCAGGTGAATCTGGGATAATCTCAGAAGTAAACGTGTGTGTAAGAGGAGACACACACACCTCACTATAGTGACGTAGAATGTATTGTTCAGAGTCAGAGCCAGACGTTTGCTCTGCAGCCGTCAGCTTCAGGTTAGGCCTGGCCGTGGCTGACACCTCCCACCCCGGCCCCTAACCCCCATCTCTCTCCTGATTGCAGAGGCACTCCATCAGTGGACCCATCTCCGCGCCCAAGCCCCTGACAACCCTGACGGATAAGAGACCAAACTACGGGGAGATCCCCGTCCAAGGTACACCCCTCTTCCAGTTCCTGCAGACGCTGAACCCCCAGTCCACCCTCTTTAATGCTTATTGTCTTTGCATCACTGTGCCTTTTGGTTTGACTACAATATTGCTTCGTTTCTGACATTAATGCCAACCGATCTGGCGCACATCTTCGTTAGAAGTTTGTAAGGAGGGGAACCAGAACAACCAGACTCACAGCCACTGAGCCCACGCTGACTCGGACCCCCTACAGGACAGGGTGGGACTGGCCAACTCTGCAGGAGTAGAGAGACCACCTTTCGCCCTCAGAGCAGCTGGTGGTTTTGAACCGCTGGCCTTGCAGCTCGTAGTCCAAATTGTAGCACACACTGTCCCCGGGCCTCCAGAGCAATTTGCTGATTGCACATTTTAATTGTTGTCGTTAGCGACTGTCTGGTTTCAACTCAGCAAATGCTCAAGGTTCAGCCACGTCACAGCATCTACCAGGGACCCCACTGCCTTCAGCCGACCAGCGTCCCTCCTGAGGTGGCCGCACTGTGCTCGCCCATGTGTCTGTTGATGGACACACAGCCATGGCGGGCCAGGGGGTCTTGTTGGTCATGCGCTAGCCACGCTCTTTGCTGGTGTGGCCAGCACTTGGGTGAAGGGTTAGTGCCACGGCGAATGGGCACCTCCGTGGATGAGCCTCCGGAGGCAGAAGGCGGGTGAGCGCGTGTGGCCGTCGTGTGTCTCTGCTGCTGCCACGGAAGTTTCTTCTCTGACCGTCGAGGGCGGGACGTGTGGATTCCAGGCTCTGGCTTCCTGTTGGCTCTGGGGGAAGGGTCTGTCTGGGGCACCTGTGGGCTGACATCTGTGAGCGCTGTGGCCACCCGCGCCTGTGCCTGAGCGTCTCCGCGTGGGGACGCTGAGTCCCAGGGGCGTGCTCCCCCCCCATTCTCTCTCGTCAGATAAAAGGGTGGGTCACATCAGGGTGCTGCGTGCTGCAGCCAGCCCTTCCTCATGAACATAGCAAGCACAGCCGAACCCTGCTTTGTGCCACCCGCCCAGTTCAGTGACCCAACCGCACCCCGGCCCCAAGTCGCTCCGACTCGTCCCGCCCTTCGCACAGAGCAGAGCTGCCCCTGCTGGGCCCAAGGCTGGAGATCTTTTTTTAATAGTTTTATTGGCACTTAATCCACATATTACACAATTCAATAGTTCACTCATATCGAGAATTGTACAGTCATTAACACAATTTCAGAACATTGTCTCTTTCTTTCTCCCCCTCGAGTAAATCGCCTTTAAAATGAGTCGTGTAATCAACCACCTTCAGTTCTAGTGCTCACTCCCCCTCCCACCCTCACTGTGTACTCCCGAAATCCCCTCGCCCTCATTCCCCGCACACACCCTTACATCCCCTACAAAGTCATTATCGGTGCATCCACTCCTGTGCTTGACAGACCGGTTCGCCCAACAAACTGTAAGAACAAAAGGGAAATGAAACGGTAAACATAAAACAATATTAATACAGAGATAAAAATATAAACAATGAGTACGGACAGAGCACCACCATCAATGTTTTAAAAGCCAGGGAAGACGTTTTTGTCCCGGAACAAGCAAGAGACCCTTGTACCAGAACAAACTCAGGACAGGTCTAGAGAGGTCAACTGACCGACTATCGAGTTTGATCCAGCAGAGTCAGGGTGACAGTGATCTGTCTCGGACAGGGAGGCTGCTCCAGGCTGTTGCCTGTGGCTGCAGGGGGTCTGCCAGCAGCTTGATCTGACTCGATACTCTGCAGATGGGTTTCCAAGACTGTAGATCTTGACGGAAGCAGCCAGCCTCCCTCTCAGTGGTTGGTGGCTTTTGAACTGCTAACCCTGTGGGTAATCCCCCGACCCAGGACACCTTCATTTACCTCCGTCAGAATGACCAGGCAACACTCGGAGTCACCTGGGGGGCTAGGGGTGGCGGGGGTGTCCATAACACAGGCTTCTAAAAGGGTCTCTCTGTCTCCCACGCGTGACGTCTTGGGAGGCTCCGTGGTGCGCTGATTGGAGAGCCTGGGGAGTGTGTCCCTGCCTGGACAGTCAGTGTCGCCCAGGGGGCATCGCAGGAAGTGGGCTGCTTCCAGCAGAGCTGGACTCTAAGAAAGTACACCCAAGCTACCCTAGGAAACCCTTCACTGAGGCAAAGATTTGACCCTAAAAACGCGGCACGGTGAAAGGAAAGTGTGTGTAGAATAATCTTGAACATTCTTTACGAGAGAACCCGCCTTACTTTAACATTTAATTGGCCATAGAGTAGGACATAAGAGCCCTGGTGGCCAAGTGGTCACGCCTTGGGCTGCTACCCACAAAGCCAGTAGTTTGAAACCACCAGTTGTTTCTGGGGGAAAGACAAGGGTCTTAGAAAGGCACAGGGCAGTGCTCCCCTGCCCTCCCTCAGGGTCGGTGTCAGTTGGAACAGGTTGATGGGAGTGGGCTTGGTTTGATAAAAGAAACCTTTGAACTTGACCCGTCACAGGGCAGACGGGCCCAGCCAATGATTTGGTGCAGAGCCTCAACCCCTGCGCCGACCGAGGCTGCCGACAGAGAAGTCCGCTGCCCGGAGCGTTCAGGGCCACTGCTGTGTGGACGTGTTTCTGAGGGGGGGCGGGGGCCAGGCTGGGCCGGATGCGGATGGACAGGATGTGCCTCTGCTCAGTCTGCTCGCCCCTGGGGCTGCTTGGGCGTTTCCTTTTCCTGCCCGACCTCTCCTTCCTTACCATCCTCACCTCGGGCCTCCTCTGCTGGCTCACCTGCTTGAGGTCCGAGCAAGGTCTCCGTCCTGCCACCATGTCTGTGAGGACTACCCTTGCTCTCAGTGTTCTCGTCAGCATGTTCAGCTGGCCTCCGTCTCCCCCAGGCCCCTCCCCCTCGCAGGGCACCTCTCCCCACGCTCCTCACTCACTACCGCTCTGGCCTGTCGTCCCTTGGACAGGTCAGCAGAGGGCGGCCGCTGCTAAATCCAAGCCTAGGTCCCCCTCCTGCCTTGCCTCGTCCGTCTCCCCGTGGGTGGGGACACCCACTCCACTCAGCTGTGGCCCGAGGCCTGCCAACCTGATCAAGCACTGACAACCCTGCTGACGGAGAGCACCCAGCTGCCTCCCAGCCCACCCTGAGCGCCCCTTGGCTCCCCCGGGTCGGGCCCTCAGCTGGCACCATGCCCTCCAGGCTCTGGGGGGCTGTGTGCAAACCACACACCCTGCTGGCAGCTGGTCCTGACTCGGCACGTGCTGCATGCACTGGGAGTTGCAGGCGTCGGCGCTCTCCCCTTCGGAGAAGCACCTGAAACACGTCAGCCCTGCACCACCGTGGCTCCTCTTGTCAGCATGCCCCTATCAAACCTGCTGCCCTCGACTGGTTCTGACTCCGCTACCCTGTGCGACAGCATAGAACTCACTCCATGGAAGTCTTCCGGGGGCACACCGCTTCAAATTTTCCCAGAGGAGCAGCTAGTGGACTTGAACTGCCAACCTTGTCGTTAGCAGTCGGCCGTTAACCCAGTACACCACCATGGCTCCCGAGATAGGTCGGAGCAGTGTTTTAGTTTTCGTCATCGAGGGGCTCAGTCATTGTCTCAGAGAATGGTCCCCACACTAAACCCACTGCCCTCGGTAGTGTTGAACTCACCGTGGCCCAAGATGGGGTGTCTAAGGTTATCGATGTTTATGGGAGCAGCTTGCCTCACCTTCCTCCCATGGGGTGGCTTTGGGGGTTGAACCACCAGCCTTTCCGGTCACAGCACCAGGGCTGCTTTTGTCTGTAGACCCCCAAACCCCAACCCACTTGCTCAGAGTTGGTTCGGACTCGTGCGTGGAACGCTCCACGGGCTTCGGAGGCTGTTGGTCCCTGCCGAAGGAGACTGCCGGCTGCCTCCTAGACTCAGCCACTGCGCACCAGGGCCCTTTGCCGCAGAGAAGCTACCGCTCGCCCTTCCAGTCCTTCTTTCCGTCTTTGGCGCCGGTTCCCGAGGAGTCTCTCTGCAGGGCCCCCACCCCACCTGCCTGCTGTAGCCCCCTCCCCGTGACAGGTCTGCATCTGGCGCCCCCCCTAGACTCCAGGAGGGTGCTGCCTCCTGTGCTGTGCCCTGTCTGCCTCCTCTGACCTTGTACACGTCCAGATGTCTCTGATCAGTACTTTGGGGGCTTTACATACTTTTTGTTTTGGCTTTTACACGTTTCCAGAAAGTAGCTGGGGTGCTGGTGGAATCAAGACCCACTTGGGCCCCGTGGCTCACAGTGGACAGAGGCAGACGTGTGTCCCAGCTGTTGGTTTTCCGGGTTTTATTTTCAGATGTGCCTCTGGGGCACGCTGGGAGTGAGGGGGATTGGATCAGCCGCCTTAGAAACACTGCACTGTGACGTTTACCAGTGCCCCACACCGGCTGTCGCAGGCCAGAGCCAAAGCAGTCGTGTGTGCGTGGCGGTGGCGAGGCGCCTGGCGCCTTCCTCACCACTGTTCCTGTGGTTGAGTTCACGGTTGTGGCCACTGTGTCCGTCCATCTCCTTGAGGGCCTTCCCCTTTCTCACTGCCCCTCCCCTTTACCAAGCACGATATCCTTCTCCAAGGACGGGCTCTCCTGATAGGGTGCCCAAAGTACACGAGACAAAGTCTTTTCCTCCCGTCTGGGAGCAGTCCGTCTGCGTCTGTGCAGGCAGTGCACGGCGCCCGCCTCCAGCGTCACTGTGCCCCCACTATGCGGCTCTCGCGTGCTCACGGGGATGGGTGCCTGTGGGTGGCTCGGGTGTGTCCCGACAGACGCGTGGTGGGAGGACTGTGGTCGTCCTCCTCCTGTGCCATGACTCGGTGGTCCCCACCCACAGCCACCCCATGGCCCGCAGAGACCTTGTGCATGACAAAGGCAGACCCCGCCTGGTCCACTGCCATCCTCAGAGTTGTTCCCTGCACCACACATAGAGGCTTGTTTCCAGAAAGTGACTCCTGCAGTTTGGGAGCCTGCAAGCTCCAACTCCATGGGCCAGGGGCCAGGCTGGAGGCTTCTCCTGCCCGGAGGTGAAGAGGTGAGCACTGACCAGCAGGGAGGCGTCTGTTGGGTGCAGGCCCAGCCCCAGAAAACTCCTTCGCCGTCAGCTCAGAGTGGCCGAGAAGTGCACCGAGACTCCAGACCCAGCACGTTGGCAGCAGCATCAGCCCCTCTCGGCCGGCCGCATCCTGCTCCGATCCCGTCCTCGTGGCCTCTGCCTTCCCTTGGGCCACTGCCCTCCTCTGACAGCGCTGAGGCTGCAGGGAAGTCCTCCTCACGCCCTGCAGCCGCAGACTGGAAAATCTGATGACGACCCTGGCTTCTGTTTCCGGCTGCGTCCGTGTTCTGTCGGCTTTGTTTTGTCTGTCAGGCCCTGTGCTCGCGTGCCCTTCCTGTCGGCCCGGTGCCAGTGGCCGGCAGGGTTCAGGGCTTCGTAGCTGATGACTGGGGCTAGCGTGTGCACCAGCAAGTGTGCTGGCTTCCAGCCAGACGGCCCGACTGTGTCCAGAGAGCAGGCTCCCACTTTCTGCCCTCTCACGCCATGACGCTGCTTGTCAGCGGTTCAAACCCACCAGCTGTGCCCCCGGAGGAAGGGGAGGACCGATCCACAGCCTCAGAGACTCCGTGCTGTCATTAGGAGCCAGAGTGGACTCGGAGACAATGAGCTTAGTGTAGTTTGATTTGATTTTCATCCTAACAAGATTGTGTCACGGGCCCTTGCTTTTAACCTCAAGGTATCTCGAGGAGGAATAATCTTACAGTCGCAGTTCTTAAAAAGAAGCGGTAAATTACCAGTTCAGTTAGTTATACGGTTAGCACTTAACTTGCCTCAGGGACACCTGGGGAGTGGGGGCCTGGTGTCTCAATGTGTTAAGCCCTGGGCTGTGGTCCTTGGAAGGTCACCGGTTTGAATCAGTCATCTGCTCTGAGGGAGAAGGGTGAGGCGGTCTGCTCCCAGGGTGCGGGTCTGCTCTGTCCTGCAGCGTGGCTGTGAGTGGGACGTGGTTGTCTGGGGACATTCTCGGACACCTGGGTTGCTGTGTTCCCATAATGCACCAGGCTGCACCTGGCTCGGCCTTGCCCTTCTCTCTTCCCTGGCCTGGTCTGAAGCCAGGCAGGCGTGCTTGGGCTTGGGAGGAGGTGTGCAGGAAGGAGCTGCAGGGCACCCCCTGGCCACCTGGGGCAGGTCTTGAAGGCCTGCAGGCTGAGACTAAAGGGAGGGCTGGGGGAAGGCCAAGGGCAGGCTGTGGACACAGGTGGGTCTGTGGTGTGCTCCCTCAGGCTGCAGTCCACGTGCAGATTGAGAGGGCCCTCATCAGTGAGCTCACCTTCCCTGCGGGCCCTGCCCTCCTGTCCCGGGGAGGCCCAGCCTGCCGGGGCTCAGCCCTAAGCGGTGCTCCGTCCTGCCTGGTCCTCAGGGTGGATGTGGGTGGCTTCCCCATGGGGGAACCTCGACCTGACGCCTGGAGCGATTGCCCCTTTGCCAGAACCTGGGGCTAGAAAGGATGAAGGGGAGGTAATGCCACAGGTTCTTGCTTTTAACCAGGTGGTTTGGGGAAGCAGTAGCTGCAGGAGGTGAGGACAGGTGGGCCTCACAGGTAGGTCTGAGGTCCCGTTCCCTGCCTGGGCCCTTACATAAGGTGGCCAGATTTTAACACTGGTAAAGTGGGACACCACTGATAAAACGCATTTCCTGGCAAAATAGCCACATGGCAGCCGAAAACCGTCTACCCTAGCTTGTCGTGCATTCTTTCCAAAAATGGGGACTTTTTAAAAAACGCCACGGAATGCAGGAAAAATTGTTAAAAATCGGGACGTCT